GGTGAAGTGTCCCTTTAAATGTTACACATACATTAACTACAGACCACTGGGTGCTTGGTCCTGATTTTCTGCCTGAGTGACTGCTACACCGCTGCTACTGCAGCTAAGAGTTAGAAAATTAATTAGTGTATTGTTATTTATCGCATATTAACATTCAATTAAATTCATTTTACTTTGATTTGGCCAAAAAAACTGAATTGATTTCCACATATCCTTCATTATGAGACGGTGTCAGACCTAAATGCAGTTCTTGTGTATGATGTTTAAATATGTTGTATTACGTTTAAAGGTTAAGAGCTCTACAATGTCGCATTAGAAATAAACAGAGAGATCAAATAAATATATTACGAATTTACACATTTAGCAGTTTCCTGTCCGCATTCCTCTCTCGCCTTATTTGCTGTAATCGTTTGCTAATATTCTTCATAGCTCTCCATTATAACCACCTGTTCCTCTTGATAAAAGTAGGCTGCACACAATCTCTCCATTTTGTGCGGAAGAAGAGTCAAAGAAAGCCTAACACTGTCAAACTTGTTTTGAAGTACGCCTCTCTGGGTGCATATATTAAAAACAAAGAATAAAACAAGGATATTTGATAGTGTGTGTGTGTGTGTGTGTGTATTAAGCATATTGGAACAGCAGTCTGTATTGTCTCGGTTTCAGTTGTGTTCCCTGTAAACCTGTCCTCCTGGTTCTAGATGGTGTCATAATTATACTGTCGGCCTGTTCAGTTATTCCATAAGTCAAGAACTTTGTACTTGGCTGGTTTCAGCATTAGTTTGTGGTTCTTGTGAACCTCCGGGCTTTAAATCAGTTGAGATTATTTGCGGGACTCCTGGTTGGCCTCAGGGTAAAAGAGGTTTTGACATTGACATTTTCTTCCTCCATTGCTTGACACATCTCAAAAGGCCCCCAATTCTTTAATGTCTTTGGCTCTTTGTCAGAGCTTCAGACGCCTTCAGGAGTGCCAGAGAGAGACCAGAAGAAAACCAAGCACAGAGAGTTTAGACGTATAATGTAATATACAGGTTGAACATTTGCAGGTGTAGACTTTTAACAGTTTGAATCCTTTTCAAACAGAGCAAAGTTCAGCATGTGGTAAAGTACAACCAGCTGACGTCTGTTTCTCTACTTCGTCAAGCACAGATATTTGTTTTGTGTTCATTTGCTTACCAACTGTATCTCACCAGAATGTTACATGAATTTGTGATGGTCTCTGTGTTAAGCAGGGTGAGGAATCAGATGTGTAAATCTTTTTCTCTTCTCTCCTGGTGTTTCCTCAGGTGGACACCACAGCCACGGCCAGGCTGGAGTCGTGGAAGCGTCCGAGGCGAAGGGTGACGCAGAAGCAGTCCTGAGCGCCGGCGGGAAACATGAGCACAGTCACGAGCAGCTTCACGCCTGCATCGGAGTGTCTCTGGTCCTGGGCTTCGTCTTCATGCTGCTGGTGGACCAGATAGGCAGTTCCCATGTGCACAGCACTGAAGGTCGGTATTACAAGGGACAGCAAACACAAAGATTAAAGCACTTCTTAAACGTATTAACCGTACACCGTCCAGAAAGTCTGTGGACACTCAGTTTGTGAAAATGGGGCTTGGTGACAGCAGCTTTGTCATTAGCTTCATTAAGTACTAATCTTCTTTGGAAGAAAATGATTTTGTTGAATTACACCCAAAACACCCCCAGATGGTTTAACTGCAAATTCTGTCTTCCCAGATGCACCCACGCTCTGCACCAAACAATTTCCGAGCTTTTTAATTGAGCAGCTAATGCTCCGCAAACTGTTTAAACAGTCTGCCAACATGAGCCGTCGCACAGTTCTCGCTCAGCGTGGAGATGCTGCTCTGTCATTGTCACTTTTACATATTAACGTATAAATATGGTTATTGAATAAATGTATGCGACTTGTTGTTTTTGTCTGGTTCAGATCCAGAGTCAGCAAGGGTCACCTCCTCAAAAATCACCACCACCCTGGGTCTCGTGGTCCATGCTGCAGGTCGGTCTGTTTTTGAATACTCATTGTCTCATTTCTTATAATGATTGTAAGAGATAAGACTTATATTTAAAATCAATCAAATTGGTGCGTTTTATTCTCTGCTATGCCTTTTGATTGATAAGTGAATCTCCTTTTAAACTAAGAATTGGTATGATTTGGTGTTTAGAGCATTTGAGCAGTAACCGTTGCTCTTTTATTTTTCTAAAACTATTGGAATCAGAATTGTGTTAATGTTGTCGTATTAATGATTAAACTCCGTCTTTTGTTTCCAGCTGATGGGGTGGCACTAGGAGCTGCTGCCTCTACCTCTCAGACCAGCGTTCAGCTCATTGTCTTTGTAGCTATCATGCTGCACAAGGTAATAATGGTCCATGTCTTTATAGTGTGGCTGTGTGGGATACATTCATACAAATTGAACTTGCTGAAACAACTATTTAGTTGATTGACAGAAAAAGTAATTGTATGACTATTAAGTAATTTATTCTGGCACAAAATACCAACTTTAATTGTTCCAGTGTCACATCTGTTAGAATTTGCTGCTTTTCTTTGTGTTATTGGAATATATAATAATATTAATGAAACTGTGATGAGCTTTTTTAACTATTTTCTGACATTGTCTTGACCAAATGAATAAAACCTGCAGATTAATCGATAATGGAAGTAATCGCTGTTGCCTCACAACAAGAAGGTTCTGTGTTTGTTCTGTGTGGAGGTTGTATGTTCTCCCAGTGTCTGTGGGTTCCCTACGGGTGCTCCGGCTTCCTCCCACAGTCCAAAGACATGCTGGTGAATAAGTTAGATTGGTGTCCAGGTTGTAGCCCCGCCTCTCGCCCAATGTCAGCTGAGATCGGCTCCATCGCAGAGTGCTGGTATAGATAATGGATGGATAATGGATGGAAATAATCGTTAGTTCCAGCCCTAACCAGCCGTACATTGCAAATGTGAACCTATGTGAACTCTGCTGCTCTGTCGTCTGCAGGCCCCAGCAGCGTTCGGCCTGGTATCGTTCCTGATGCATGCTGGTCTTGAGAGGAACCGCATCCGCAAACATCTTCTGGTCTTCGCCCTGGCAGCGCCCGTCCTCGCCATGCTCACCTTTTTAGGCCTCAGTCAGGTAAATGTTAAAATCTGTGTCTGTTTTTGGAGAATTTGGAGCTCATGGCAGATTATTATTTTTAAAGTTTAGATTATTATTTAAGATATACATTTTATAAAATATTCAGGATAAGAACACAGCGAAGACCTGAACAGAAGCTACAGTGTATTCACAAACACATCTCTGATGTTTATTCACAGGAGATAATCTTGTCCAAAACCACAATAACTTTCTGCAGTTATTGTGTTCACTGTTGCTGTTATTGTTATGCATTGAATATAATGTAAAATATCCATGAAATATGTCACCTATATGTTAGTTTATGGAATGATAGAAAAGGGTTTCCTTAATGAAATGCTCTACAAGAAACATTTACCAGACATGTTATAGATTTCATAAAAAAGTTTCAGAAAGGAAACATTTGTTGTTGGATTTTTAGCCAAACATTTTGCCTCACAGTGTTTCTGTTCTTTTCCCCCTCAGAGCAGCAAGGAGGCTCTGTCAGACATCAACGCCACCGGTGTCGCCATGCTTTTCTCTGCTGGCACCTTCCTCTACGTGGCCACCGTTCACGTCCTCCCTGAGGTCGGCGGTGGCGGCCACAGCCACGCTCCTGCCGGAGGGAATGGAAGCAAGGGACTGAGCAAGGTGGAGGTGGGAGCTCTGGTGCTGGGTTGCCTCATTCCTCTGGTGCTGTCCGTCGGTCACCACCATTAGACACAGAGCTCAGGACGAATTTCAGACGGGTGTACAGTGGAGAGAAGCGGAAACAGAGACTTCAAACATTGTGGGATCTAAATGTCTTATTGCTTGTTGTCTCCTGATGGACCTCGTGGACCAGACTGGTGCTCATTGCGGGGACATCTTAAGACTTGAAACTGACCTTGAAACAGGGAATGAATGATGTATCAGAGTTGCTGCAGTGACAACCAAGGCATGCAGCGATGCTGACACTGAGGGCAAACATCTCGCAGCTACTGTATGTGTCCATTTATTCCATCAGAAATCTTTTTTTTTTTTTTTTAACGAGATTTGGGCACTTTAGCTCTGTTTATTTACATCACCATGGAGGTTTCAGTGTTGCATTATCGTGATAGTCCAAAGTCAAAGAACCTACTTTGATTTCATTACAGTGATGTTTTACTAGATGGCAGTTGCACAGTGAGATTTAGATGGATTTAAACCTGTGATATCAAGAAAGAAAACTTTTTTTTTTTTTTTTAATAATTGTACAGAGTGTAAATCTCTAAGCAACAATCCAGATTGGTTTAAACTAATTTTCAAGTGCCATATTAGGAAGTTGGAGCAGATAACTGAAGAGATCACGGCGACGTTACGGTTCGTAGAAAGCGTCCCTGTCCTATTTCCTTACCGAGATCTTTTTCTTGCAGCCAGCCGTGAAGCGGGATGAGAGATGAGTCCGAATAACCAGCTAGATGCTTGTGACAGTTTTTGTCTTTGGCTAGTGAGTTTATCTACTAAGTGGAGGTTTGTCCTGTTAGAAAAGTTGTGATGAGCAGTTTCTTGACCTGATTGGAAGCCTTTCTATGATGAATACTGATGGTGCGTCTCTCCTGTAAAACCACACGTAAAGGTTCATCGATTAATCTGCTCAAACTCGATTCCAGTGTTTAAGGAAAAGACACAACCAGCCTTGATGTACCACAACATAAAGTGTCACTTTTATTTTGTCTGTTTAGTTTCTGGATGTGTGTATATCTGTTCTGTTTTACTTGGAGAGTAATTATAAATAGATGATGGAGGAAAAATCTGTATAGAATTGTCTTAAGTGATTGTTTAGAGTGTTATTAAGCTTCTTTATAGGTGGGGGGTCATTTCAACAGCTCCGTGTGAATGGCGATTTGCCTTGCAGGGGGCATGAACTGGATGAAAACGTTTAGGGACCATCGGCTCAGGAGAACAGACATATTGCAGATCCCGTGAGCAAGATTTTTTTTTTTTTTTTAGCTTTTTAGTTGGTTTACCCTTCATTAATTAATCATACCTGAGCAATAATCATACACATTAAATTGGGGAAAAGTCACTTCTTTCTCAGGAGTGCAGCAGAGTCTAAAATGAGGGTTTACCTTCATCTTTAAAGTGCTTGTTATGTGTTGCACATATCAAGATATGTCGGCTCTTGAACATCCCACCCCCCGGCTGATGAATTAAAATGTAAGTAGGCTGCTCCCCCTTCAATCAGGACACATGGATATTGTGCCTGCTCACAGCAGAGCTCATGTATATGTAAGTATGTACGTGTACTGTACAGAGTAACTATTTCCTACCACATGGTCATCATGATCTCCTGTGTGAGATGGAACTGCTAACTTACAAAAACAGCTTGTTATTTTTTAATTTAATTTAATTTGAAACTTTGGACACGGACGGACTGTTCTTTGCAGTAATGACACGAGGCTACATACTGTCTGATGAGGTCTTTGTTTTATGTATAAATTGAAAGGTTTTACACACAAAACTTGTCAATTAATTCCAAGTTACATGATGAGAAGAAACCCACCCTCACGGTTTTATGGCTTCCTTTTGTGATTGCGAGAGAAAAGGGGTGGAGTCGCATGCAGACCAGCAGCTGCATGGCCGTTTTTATTTTCTATGGGACGCTGTATGTGTGTACAAAAGGGAAAAAAACCCCACTGTGTTGCTTTACATCCATACATGTTGGAGGACAGCCCCATTATGTGCCATTTCATCTTTCTGAACAATGTTGCATCAGAGTCCCTGCGGAGATTTGGCATCTACATGTTTCTCATCCAAACTAATGTTAAATGGGTTCAGGGTCCACTGGTAGAGGTGTTTAGGGCTGCAACTAACGATTCTTTTCTTTATCTGTTAATTATTTCCTTTTGTTTGGTCTCTCAGAAAAATGCTTAGAATCCAAGGTGACCTCTTCAAATGTCTTGCTTTGTCTGAAACCCCAAATATATTTACTATGATGTTTACTATCACAGAAGACAGGAAATACTCGCATTTGAGAAGCCAAACTGCATTTATTTGGGAGTCTATCAGCCTTTAAAGCCCCTGAAAATGTGGTTATTTGTCTATAAGATAAAATATTCATGACACAATAAGCAATAATCAAAGTTAAAGTTGGGTGGGAAATAAAACTTCCGTAGCTATTTATTAGGAGCTTAAAAACTCTGTGCTACGTCAGGACTGAGGGCGTGATTTGATCAGATTGCGTCGTCATTGTTTGATTCAAATGTTGTTAGACTGATTGGTGCATAAAAGTAAGAGACCCTTTTCCCACTGAGCCCCGCCCACATCAAACCAGAGAGAAGAGAACAAAAATATTTAAATCTCTGATGTGAAATAACCAAAACTGTCGTTGTGAGCTCATGTCCTTCATGATAAGAAGCCTTTAAAGTTCATCCTCGTTTGTCACGTGACTTCTTTTGGGGATGATGAAGGAACAGGAATGGGTCAACTAGCTATATAAGTTGTAAAATAATATGAATTAAGATCAAACATTCTGGTCTCATGTTGCTGTCCAGTGAAAAACCTCAAAATTTAGTGATTATGAATTTTTCAGATAAATTAAAGAATGAAATGTTCTTTTATGGGACGAGAGCGTTCTCTGCTTCTTAAAGCATTTTTAAAGTCCGTCTTAAGACAATACTCAATTACTCGTATGTAGAGCCAGTGAGTTATTGGTTACTGTAATAGTTTCTTTCGTCCATACTGGCAGTGAATCCAGTGTAAGTGATGTACAAAATTCTCTTCTTGTGCTAATAATTTGCCTTCAAAAGATTAAAATTTTGCAAGACACCAGCTTTATTTGTCTAATTCAGGCTGATAAAGCCTCATATTAACTTTGGCTGAACGTTTGAATGCATTTTTTTTTTTTTTATATAGAAGGACGACTGCAGATTCTGTCCCCCATCTGTTACATTGGAATATCTTCATGCACAGTATGGACAAGAGGACTGATTACAGCAAACTTTTGCAGGAGACACATGGGCGTCTGACTGTAGTTTGTAGAGCAACTTGAGAAATTGTGAACATATTCTTTAAGCTAAATCAATCTGAAAAATACATCATTATAAAAGTAGAAGCGTCTGTTTTCCTGAGCTTGTGAAAAGTTATTGTGATCATCTTAAAATGCAATAACACAGAGAACATCTTTGCATATAAATTAAGAAAATTAAACTATAGGATCCCTTTAAACTGCCAGATATCTGCAGGTCTCCACACAAACAGGAAGAGATGAGCAGATATATTGGGACTGATTGGAGGTTTCAGTTTGGCTCGGGAGCGTTTTAGGATCAGGTTAATATTTGTAATAGTTTCAGTGGGGTAGGTGTGTCTTTTCTATTTTTATTTTGTCATTCCAGAATGAGTCTGCCTTATTTCCAAACTTTTGATTGTGAAAATCAGTTGTAAAGCAATGTGTTTTATGACGACTAAATTAAAGTTTTTTAACTGGTGAAAATGCTTACTTTGATGATTTAAGCCTGTTTACTGTTGTGGTTTTTCCCAAGATTTAACAGGTGGAATTGAGCCTGATTTCATCTCTTAAATTGATGGTTAAATGCAGTTCATAGAAAGCAGTTGGTCCCATTTATCAAGTTTTCATCTCATATTCATCAAGGTAAGAATTTATAGTTATATTTGTGGGACTTTTCTCTTAAATCATCGCTTCAGAGGCTTTTCTTTCCCTTCCCTCTCCCCTACTTACTCATGAAAAAAAGGTCTACAGGCTCATGCATTCCCTGTTGAAGCTGAGCTGTCAATATCTTTATAATCTGCTGTCCATCCACTCTGACACATGTTCTGTAAATTAATCTGACACTGACGACGCTGAGCTGCATGTTAACCGCTTCGACTCTCCATCCTCTTTATCAGGAGCTGTGTGGCCGCGCCTTTCCTCCCACAGATGTTCTCCTAATTCACCACTGGAGTTGTGGATAAAGGGAGTGATGGAGTGATGGATGGAGAGACCAGGGAGTTTATACCTGCCAAGAGATGCAGACTCCCCGCTTGCTGCGAGTACAGTAATCTGAATAACAGCTTTTACTGGCTGCAATGTATTGACCCGCTTCAGATTTAGCAACTCATTCCTAAAGCTTCCCTTCCTCCCTCCCTCCCCTATCGCCTCCCAGTATCTCTCCTCTTCCTCCCTCCCTCGCTCACTCTTTCTCTCGCTCTCTCATCCCTGTTTTCATCTGCTGTGCAGTCAGTCTGCCTCCAGCTGATGAGCATATTGGCAGCTGCATCATTCCACCCTGCTGAGTTATTGGGATTTGTTTGCTACTTTTCCTGTTTTGTATTGAAGCTGTCCCTGCAGCTGTACTCGCACCCCTGTGTGTGTGTATGTGTGAGTGTGAGTGTGTGTGTGTGAGTGTGTGTGTGTGTTATTGGGGTAATTGTTATTGACTGACTGTATTGTGCTTCATTTTTTTTTTTTTATATATTATTGATAGTTTTTTGGTTTTCTGGCCCCACCTTCCATCAGGGCGTGGGAAACAACAGAGAATGTTCTCGTCTTCGTCCAGAAACTCTCTGTTCTCGCCCTGGTCGTCTATGGAGCAGTCGGACTCTGAAGTGTTGGACATCAGCACCAAAGTGCAGCTGCACGGGGTGCTGTGGAAGAGGCCCTTCGGACGGCCGTCGGCCAAGTGGTCCCGCAGGTGAGGGTGAGGCGTGATTGATCTGCTGTTAGAGGTTTTGTTAATCTTCCTTTCTGTTGGTAAGAGGAAAATCTGCCTCTCTGCAGCCTGTAAAACCTCGTCAAAACCTGGATGAACTTTAAAAACTAGAGGTTGTAGGTAATCTGATGTTTCTCTGACATTTATGAGGCAGAAAGTTTTCTCTGTTCCAAACAATAATCTTAGAGAATAATCCTTCCAAGGAGCATCAAAGAGTTAAATTGACGATTTATTTGACAGCACAGGTATGAAATGGAATGAATCTACTGTTCTGAGAGCAAAATCTATTTAATTTTCTTTACAGCCATATTTGAAATAATAAATATATATATATATATATATATATATATATAATAAACATATTACAAATTACATAATGTTAAGTGAAAGTGGATAAAACCTGTAGACTTGATTGACTATCTCTGATGTAATGATGAAAGTGGACATTCAGGATTTTGTCAACTAAACTGTTGACATGTGTATTAGAGGATCACTTTATATAATACAGGATACACTCACAGGCGTTTCCTGTGTATCCTGATATGACTGTATATTTGGATGTTAAAATGCCTGGATTGGTACCTTATGTCATGATAATGCTCTTAGTTTACATAACAGTTAAAACGACAATACACAGTGGATCCAGAGAGTCCATTTGCAGCACACTCTTCGTAACCTTTGCCATTTGCTTGTGTCATAAAGGTCAAAAGAATTTGGTTGTGTTTGGTAAATGCTCATTTGGTTTCCTGTGCCAAACTGCAGGCGGCTCAGTGATTTTGTTTTTGTCACCAGCTTAAAAAGAAAAACGGCAGTTAGTTGAAACATTCCCTGGGGGTGAAATTAAAGCAACACTAGTTATAAAAAGTGCAGCTCAGCCTGTGAAAATAGCTTTATATTGTGTGTTTGAACTGTAGAGGAGTTTTTCTAACGACAGAGAAAATAAAGCCTGGTGATGTCATCAATTAAAGACATTGAGTTGCATTGTGGGAATTAAAGGCTCAGGATATCTCGGCCTCTGCTGCACTGAATCTGAATATTTCTTTATTAAATCTGTCTCTGGCAACTATTCCTTTAACTAATATATCAAATACCTGCTCATTTATTTATCTGTTAGTTTTCAGGTTGACTTTATTCCAAACTTAAAATGCACAATAACAGAACATGAAAGTGACAAGTAAACACAATGTAAGCAACGTCTGATCCGATCAGTAAAAAGATGCATCGTCTCTCTGACTTTTACTTACAACAACTTGTGTTTATGGGCCAGGTTTTTTTAAAAAACAATGTAGTTACAGCACTATTATTAGCTCAGTCAGTACAATATACTGTAAGGATAACTGGATATGTGTGTGTTTAGCAAATCTCTATCCAATGTTATAGTTACTGTAATTTACATTGAATACATATTAAATAAATAAATTACTGTTAACACATTTGCAGACGAGGCAAAAATGTATTAATCTGAGCGGTCTCTAGGTGGTTATTGGGGTAAGAAATAAGAACAAACAGGATTCTGCAACAACAAAAATATGTTTATCTTTCAGATTTTGTTCACAATCTTTGTGTTTTATTATGAAATACAGTATAATTTTGCCTTTTTGGGCCTCTGAAAAATCGCTCTTCTGTTCTGCAGCTCATAACTCACATTCATTTGACAAAATATGAGGGGTGGCAAGTGCTGCTTTTAGTGGGTGATAAGAAATAAAAGTTGGGAACTGCTGACCGAAAGCATAAAATAAAACTGCAGCAGTATATACAGAAAAAAAGCAGCTCCTCTAGATTGATTATACCGATCACTTGTTGTCATAAAGAGGCAGACTTTGTAGACTTTGCAGTTAGTTACCTGCTCATCAGTTTTGTATATTGAGAACATTGGCAGACGTTGGTTCCTTTCAGCCCCACAGGATTGACTCACTGTTGCTTTCATTGTCTTCCTCGGTACAAAGATTCTTCATCATCAAAGACAGCTTCTTGCTCTACTATGCAGAGAGCGAGAAGAGAAACTTTGAGACCAACAGGTACTTCAACATCCACCCCAAGGTGAGCCAATGCATCTTCTCTGTACACCTGTAAGAAAATGAAGAAGATGGTGGAAGATATGTAGGTTTTAGATGAATAACTATGTGTGTAGGTCACTTTGTGAACAGAAGCTTTTAACTGTAATTAACCAGAAACAATATTATAAATAACATTTTGATGTGTTTCTGTCTCAGGGAGTCATTCCTTTGGGAGGATGCGTGGTGTCAGCTAATGAAAACATGGGCATGCCCTTTGCCATCGTGGTCAACCAGGAAGACTTTACTGTAAGACCATGTACCTGTCACACATTCATTGCAATATTTCCTCCATTACTTTATCATCTATAAGCCTTAGAGACATTTAAAAGTATATTTTGAGAAAACCCATGACTAAAAGTGCAGACCAAATGAAACAACAAATGAATGCAAAAATGGCCACATAGTATAATAAGTGCAAAAACACAATTTACAGATCAGCTAGGAGAGCCAAGCACTTAAGCTCTTTCTAAATTGTACTTTTATCGCTGCAATAATGTGAGAAATCGGCCTAATCCTGCAACAAATGGGACACATAATGGAGTGAGTTTAACTGCACACTGTGTTACATCAATTTTTATTATCTCAGCAGCCCAAAGATGGAAATCCATTGTCTATTTTACAGCCTAAGCTCATTATTGAGGCGCTGATGTAAAATTTGTGAATCCATCCCCCAGGGTACCATAGTCCTGGCTGCTGAGTCTGAGGATGAGCAGGTCCAGTGGATGGAGATGCTCCAGGAGTCAGGGAAAGTGTGAGTATTTGACCGGCACATATTATGCCTCTAAATGTTGCTCCTCTGAAGGATTTACACACACAATATATGATTCTTGAAGCCCTTTATTTCGAATTTTCATGGGATTATAGAATTACTTGGATTGGAGATGTTTTTGTTTGTAGAAAAACAAGAAAATCCCAAATTTGCCAGTCAGAAATGTTCAGTTCATAGAGAATATGAATGTTTGTAGTAAGTCTGATGACAACCCATCCACAAGTTTTCAAGATATTTCCTTCTAAACCACTAATGTCAACCAGAGGAAAAGTCTGAGGATCATGAAAGTAAAAAGAGATCAGTCCTCTTGGGACCATAAATGTCTGTACAAAATTTCATGGCAATCCATCAAAAATTATTGAGATATCCTTTTGTTTTGTTAAAATTACTGTTTGTCCAACAGCACGTGGAAGAATGCCCAGCTGGGAGAGGCTATGATCGAGAGCCTGGAGGCTCAGGGGCTGCAGCTGGCCAAGGAGAAGCAGGAGTACCTGGGTAAACATGGGCGAAGTCACCTGAATCAAAGAGCTTATTAAAGGTTTAACAAACGGAAGGAGCTTATGTCTAATGGTTTTTATTCTCCAGATAAACTGATGGAAGAGACTGAGGAGCTTAGTCACCAGAGAGCGCAGAGAGAGGTGAGGCTTTGTTTACGCGCTCTGGCATCGTCACGTAACAGCAACAGCATGTTGATATTTTTAAGTTTGCAATAAGAAGATATCAGATCATTCAAATATTCATAAATGTTAGCTGTTAGTTTAGACTTTATGTATATGTATATTATTTTTAATTGTTTAGATGACGACTTCTTCAGATGTCTTGTTTTGTCTGACCAACAGCGAAATCCAAAGATACTCTGTTTATTATGAAATAAAACAGAGAAACATAGCAAATCATCACACTGGAGAAGCTGGAGCTAGATAATGTTTGAATGTTTTTGCTAATAAAACTATTGTTGCTGAATAATTTAATGTAAAACAACTAGTTGATTAGTCGATTAATTGTTTTAGTTGTGGTATTGAAATAAAGGATTCTTAACGATGCTCTCAGTAATATTGGAATTAAATTATTAAACTATGTAGCTATGCAATAACATCAAGTGTGATGTTTCATTCTTATGATGAAAAATGGATGCTGAGTTAACTTAGCATAGTGACACATCTTTTTAGGACAGGTCCATATTAGTATAAAATGGGATATAAGCATATATGTTTCACTCCCTTCAGGACTTCAGGACTGCAATGGAAATAAATCGTGTGACTTTATTGTGATTTCCTGATGAACTTCAGTACTGTATGCACATGTGTGTATCGTCTTTTAATTTAATTGAATAAAATCAGTGAAATATTCCCACATAAAGGCTCTGAAATAGTTGTCTTTGTGTTGTGTTTGTGTGTGCAGGAGCTGGAGCGTCTGAACCAGGTTCTGGAGGAGGAGAAAATGAAGTTTGAGGAGGTGGTGCTGGAGCTGAAGGCAGAGCAGGAGCATATCAAACTGTAAGGACTCCTCCCATTCATGTTAACTGATGCTGATTACGCTGTACAAGCCTGTAAATGAATGCGATCTGTTGTGTGTTGATGACAGAGACCTGGACGACACAGCTCAGTCCCTGAAGGGGGTCGAGAGTGAGAAAGAAGAGTTGAGCAGTTTAACCGTCATGCTGCAAAAATCCATTGAGGTAAGCGTAACTCATCCACAGATACAGTCAGTGTAACAAGAATATCGTATTGATGAGTTGGTTCGATTCTGATTATGTTACAACTTCTGATGTAATATGTTATGTAACAAACCTTTGAGGTTGATAGTTTAATTATCCTGCTAATGTAATACATTTGATATTGATGCTACTCGCTCTGAAGAGGATTAGAGCCATGTGGAAAACAGCTGAATACTGAGATTAAAGTCACAGAAAAAGTCACAAATTAAAGAATTTGTTTCACATTTTGGGAAATATGCTGATTCACTTACTTGTCTGGTTATTTTAGCTCAGCATTAAGACTGGAAACAGGTCTTAAGGTAACAAAATCCATCTACCAGCACCTCTAAAGCTCACTAATTAACATGTTAAGGAGGTCACTGATTCTGACCAAGAAATAGTCTGGATGGATATAAAAATGGTATTGATATCTCGAAAAAGGATTATGACTTTTTTCTCAGAATATCAAAATTAGGGTTGCACAGTAGCTCACCAGGTAGAGTCCCATTTAGGCTGAGTCCTTACTCAGGTTTGATTCCAACTTTCCGTCTTCTGCTGCATGTCGTTCCCCCTTTCCTATCTTCACCTGTCCTATCAAATAAAGGCATAAAAAGCCTCAAAAATATCTTTAAAAGAACCAGTGTGGGATTTAGTGGCATCTAGAGTTGTAGTTGCAGATTGCAACTTGTCGCTTCATTCTCCCCTTTCAAGCGCAAAGCAGAAACTACGGTGGCAGCAAAACATTCTGGGCTACTGTATAAATATGGCTTCATGTAGTTAAAAATAACGAAAACACAATGATTCTTATTTGCAGGTGATTATATTATATGGATATTATAATCCATATCAGTCTCGTATATGTTACATACTGGATCCTAAATTACGAAAAAACCTTTTTTTATGTGGCCGCAACTCTCTGAACTCAAAATATGTGTGTATGTACAAGGTAACTATCATATATAGTTCAATATAAATATATATCACTCATTCACAAATTTGGATTTTAGCTGAGTTGCTGCTTCTGAAAAAGATCAATGTAAACAACTGAAGGTTAAGAAATTTAAACCTTCCTGTTAATTTGACAAATAAAATCTTATCTCTTCCAAGCACATAACCAGCAAGTGGACCGTACCTGCTTTTCCTGTTAATTTCATTAAACAATGATATACGTTACACTTGTAATACGCAGCATTTAATCTCCCACTTGAAACCAGAACATTTGTATAGACTGAGAACATTCACTAGGATCTGAATCTCTTGTTGGGTCCTTCAGGAGCTCTCTCAGGAGAAACAGCGGACTCTGGAGCTGCTGGGGGTGAAGGAGCAGGAGGAGAAGGAGGCGGAGGCGGCAAAGAAGTCTGAAGACGGCGAGGATCCTGGAGAAGTGGACCTGCTGCAGGACCTGCGACACATCGAGGAGCAAATGAAGCTCCTGGTGAAAGAGAAGGAGCAGGCTGACGAGAAGTGAGTGAGACCTCAGAAACAGAATCAGACTGGAGTTACTGGTTTAGAGCCTGAAAGCAGAACAAACGCAATTATATAACAGACTTTCCATTCTAATTTCATGTCTTGAAAACTTTTTCGGTGATTTTAAGTCAGAAATCCTTTAAAGATCCCCTCCAGACATTAATTAATACACATATAAATACAGTACTCTACCGACTTGTGTTTTTACACAAAAATAGGATTCAATAACATTTTACATATTGATACATATTAGTAATGCTGATTACAGAATCATTAATACACACATATATATATATATATATATATAAATATATATATATTTATATGTATATATCATATAATATAATATACGTAGTTTAACTGTAGGGCTTCAGCCTGCGATTATGTTTTGGCATCCAGAGGGTCAAAGCCTTTCCAGGGAACCTCTATGCTAATGGCACAGAGGATGTAACTACTAGTGGAAATGTGTATTGATCCCTAAACAACCAGCCCATTGATCAGCACCAGTAAGTGGGATATTACAGGCAGCTGCTATTGACTGTGTAGCACTAATGCTCTGTTATGAACACTGAAATATAACTTCATGTTTCCATGAGCTCTCTGCCTTCCCTCTCCTCTTCTCGGCCGTCCTCTGACTGACATACAGCTGGAACTATGTGGAAAAATCCAGAAATATACAACCTTAATCATACAGAGCAGATTTCATACCAAATGCAAAACATAATTGATCCTCTTCTGTATTAAAACAACAGCAACAAATACTGGTTAAAAGGTTAAGGTTTTGTTTAGTTGATTACTTTAGTTGTTTACATATTGAGTCATCTGTGATATGTTTTGAGGCAGTTAAATTAGACAGTATTTTTACTGGAAACACATTTATCCAGTGATGCAGCTACAGTATATTATAAAACCATCTTTTTCTTTCATGAAAGGTGTTTCTAATATTTTGTTGTATTTAATAATAAATAATAAATAAATGCTCGTAATAAAATAATGCAAAGATACAATAGAAGATATCAGAAAAGGATAGTAAAGTTGAATGAACAGCTCTCTGTGGTTGTACAGTGTTTCACATATTACAGCCTTGTTTTACTGAATTATTACATTCTAATTTTACATATTTTACACATTGGAGATCAATTTGTGTATGAGTTTTAGTATTTTAATAGTTTTTGCTCTTTCAATTATAAGTATATTTAGTTTTTTTTAGTCATATGATAAAAGAGTATATTTAAAACAAAAAAATAATAAAAAAACAAAAGTAGAATTAATGTCCTCACTGCATCCTGTTGAACATATGTGTAAAGTTTAATTACCACATCAATTTTTGAGTTATGACCAAAAAAGTGTTTAAGGTCATTTTGAGGTCACTTGACCTTTGACCTTTGAGTCAAAAGTGTCAACAATTCATTGTCTGACCAATCGTAAAATATCAGTGACAGGGACTTTGACCTTTGACCACGAAATTCTATTAAGTTCATCCTTGAGTCCAAGTGGACGTCTGTACCATAGTGGCGGAAATTCGCCACTAAAGGCAAATAAAATAGAATAAAATAGATTTTATTTTATTTATAGAACATGTCATTTTGTCTGTTGTAACAGAATCTGTTCTCAAAACAACAACAACCACTAACAGGAAGACAGCAACTGACACTGACTGAGTAAATTCAACAGTTGGCTCAAGAATTAACAAAAGTTTTATTTAATTTTAAAGATTTTACTGACTATCATACTGCTGGTAAGTGTAGCTTAGCTTAAAGACTGAAAACGGGGAAACAGCTAGCCTGACTCCGTCCAAAGGTAACGAAATCTAAAAAGCTCCCTAATGAACACATTATATCTTGTTTGTTAAATTTGTAAAAAAGCTTCTTAAATTACAATAAGCTGTATTATCATGTTCACAGAAAGCAAATAAGTGAAATTCCCAAAGCGTCAAACCATTCCTTTAAGTGTCTCACACATAAAACTGGTCTGTTTGAGATAAAGTTCTGTTTTAACCTTGAAATTACAGTACAGATGTGCGTTTGTGTGCAATCATCTGTGTCCTGTAGAGCTCAGTGAGCACAGCACGGCTCCGATAAATGCAGTCCTGACAGAGAAGGTCGACTTTCATCCACAGCAACAACAGCTTTGTTTTCAGCTTCATCCTGGAGGGTTTCAAAGTGGCTGTGAATAATACCATAACCATTAAACTAACCATTGGAGACAGGAGCATTTTTCTCAGTAGCACAAAGATATGCACAACCTTCTTTGTGCTGTTATGTGTGTGTCTGACTGTGTGTGTCTGACTGTGTGTGTCTGACTGTGTGTGTCTCTGGCTCAGGCTCAGGGAGAACGAGAAGCGGGCTACAGTCCTGCAGCAGGAGAGGGAGTACTACTCGTCTCAGGCTCAGACGCTGCAGCAGTCGCTCTCTCAGCTCACTGCGGACAAGAGGCAGACCGAGGCCGAGCTCAAGGTAACACAGCATGACTCAGCTGCTCTCAGCGTCCAGTTTACACAGCTACACAGCACTGCTCAAAGTCAGATTAAAGGTCGCTGTATTAATCAGCTAGCCGGGTTTCTGTTTCAGGAGAAGGATTTTCATGAAGACAAGAGAGTTAAAAGAGAATTGGTTAGAGTTAAAAATGATTGAAGAACATTTTGGATTATATCTGCTTATAAATACAGAGAGAAATGCTCAATGTTAGTAGGTCCAACCTTTACTTTAGTGTTAGCACAAGACTCTCAAGGTGGAACTAATAACAATAACGATGGACCAAGCGAAAATTATATTTGTACTTACTTGTGCTGGCAGGCAGATATCAGGCAAACAATAACATAATAATTTTTAGTGTCCTTGTACTCGAGCTGCTGTAGCCCTGGATCTCTTGAAATACTGAGGTCATAAGTTCAGGCCCCCACAGTGTAGCTTCCACAACCCTAAATAAATCGGATCTGACAGTAGAAAGAAGGTATCTTTAAATTATTTTTTAATACTTTTGTACTTTTGCTTTAGAGAGAGTTCGAATACAAGAGTTTGACATTTATTTTTACACTGTGGTGTTTTTACTTTTACTTAGTAAAAGATCTGAGTACTTCTTCCTCCTCTGTTCATATTCAGGCGGCTCATTCAGTCAGATTTTAATTGAATCAGGTCTGTGAAATCTTCAGGGTGGTTCAGCCAGAGATCCTCCTCCTCCTCCCCCTCTTCCTCCTCCTCCTCCACGCCCAGTCTGACATGCTGAGTCTCTCTGACATGAAGAGCTGATATCACGTTACACTTACTGGAACCAAAAAGAAAATCCTCTCATGTCCAGTTGTTCTGTATGAAATTACCTGTTTCCTCTTTCTATCAATCACTTCTTTACTTCAACTCACTCTCTCTTTCTCCCTTAAGGCCTCAGTCAAACTGCATTATTAACAATGCACAGAGCACAGAAATGAATAAGATGTAAACTCCTGTATTGTTGAAGTGCCCTTGAGCAAATACACGAACCTTCACTGACTGGTTGCACGAGTCACCTCAAGTCAGCTGTCTCTCCTGGTTAATACTCCAGATAATGTGTGTTTAGTGGGGTTTTACTGGCTAATATTGATAGGGATATTATCAATATGTATTCTGTGTATTTAAATTCAACAGTATTATTAAAATCCATGAGTGAAGTGGTGGAAGCCTGTAGTACTGCTTTCAGTTCATTATGTGACACTAATTACTATTAGTTACAAACAGTTTGAATTTATTTTAGTACTGTCCTCTTAAGCTGAGTCAAAAGCCCAATATTTCTCTTAATATCCACATAAAGATCCAGTGTATCAATCTAACCCTCCTCTTAGTCAACTCATTTGCTTAAATAGGTTGTCACTAACACCCTGTGTGTTTGCTGTGTGTCTCAGGCGGAGATAGAGTCTCGGGTGGAGCTGGAGAAGAGACTGAAGCAGGCTGAAGAGGCTCTGCAGGACCTGGAGAAAGGCCTGAACTCGCTGGAACGGACCAAAGAGAGAGACGAGAAGATGAAGGGGGACGTGACTCAGCTGAGGAGTGAGTGCATTCACTGATACTTTCAACATGTCTGTATCTGGTAGAGCCAATATGTGAGAAAAGAATCCATTTACTTCATTGGGAGCTGATAAAGTCAAAGAAGTTAGAGGCATAATTGAATGAATATTGGATGGAGTTTGGTGTGATGGTCCATGATGGATAGCATCAGTATCTCCCAGTCAAATACATGAATAAATATGTATTTAAACGTATTTACTCAGTGATACAGATACAGATTAAACAGACAGTGGAGATGTGAAGTCCATAATTAGATCTGAACTTATACCTGTGTGACCGCCCTCCTCTGGACAGAGTTTGTATTACGTGTTGGTTGTAGGAGAAACAATAACACACTGAGCAGATATCAGTCACAGATAGTGAAACATGTTTTATTTTGTTTAATTCATTCACTAGATATTGCCTCAATTGATTAAGGCTGCAACTAATGATTCAGATTCAGATAACTTTATTGATCCAAAGAAGGGCAATTCATTTGCAGCATACCTAGTCCACACACACAACTCCAAAACTCACAGGCCAAGTAGTTGAATGTCAGAGGCAAAGATATCGACATACACAGGGCAATACAAGGAAACAATGA